CTAGCTTAAAATGCTCATTTCCTAGTAGCTTTGTCTGCAGGGCCAGCTTTAGGCTTAAATTATAGGATAGCTATGGTTTAATTTTGTAGTATGGGTGTATCAGGCACTTTCTGCCATAGGAGTGTTTCTACATGGAGGCAAGTGATCAACTTGGCTTTGTTCTTTTGAGGGAGAAATATGAGTTCTATGACAGTTTGTAATCTCATCAGTATTCCTTGTGAGTTTTAGGATCTTTTCTTATGTCTTTGTAAAATACTTGCCAGAAATATGTATATACCACTAACAAACTTGCTCAGCATTCTGTGTTTTGAACTTTACAGATAAACTATTGGGTGAATTTCAGGTTTATGTTTTTGAAGCTAGATAAAGTAAAAATGTAGCACCTCCAGAGTTCTAAGAAATTTTTTGAGGGCTCTCAAATTAATTCAATGTCCAGACAAACTTGCTGAGACACAGTATGACAAGCAGGCTTTAGGTGACCTTTTGAGAAACTAGTTGTTCTCCAATATTTGGCTCTTGCAAATGACAAAAGTTGAAGTGACTCTATCAGATAAGCTTTCCTTTAGCCATAGATCATACATGTGGAATGTGATATACTCAGAATTCATAAAGACATTAAAAGGAGGGTTCGTGTAATGTATTCCCTCTATGAAGGTAACTGTTGAGACGGCCAACTCCATAAACTGTAATTTTCCCATTAAGTCAAGACCCACTATTGTGACCTCTGAAATCAATTTAGCTGGCCAGAGGCTCTGAGCACTGTTTATCACACTGAACAAATAGGTTTTGTGACTACCACTCAAATATTTGTGTTAACTTTTAACTAACATAGACAATGAATAAGCTCTTCCCTTGGATGTCTCTGTAAATTTCAAAAGTAATGAGGACCTAATGTGAGAGAGGGGTTGTGTGGGCTGTAGCCCAAACGTGTGGCATAAACTACCGGTGTAATTAAGTTGGACCCTAACTGGCATGGTGCCCAGAGAACTTTGAACCCCCAGGAAGACTTTGCATCAAGTGAAATGAGTGGAAATTGCAACCGTTTTGTTTGTTTTCTCCTATTTTAGACTGAAAACCCAATGTAATTTAATTCCAAAGCCATTCCACTGACCTCAGGGCTGAGGCGAGGAGAGGTCAAACGACTTCCCCTGGTCAAACAGGATGCATGTGGCATAGCCATGAATAGACTCTAAAGTACTGCTCCCATGTCATAACCGTAAGGCTGTTCTTAGTGTGACAAAAGCTGTTCTATTTTAGGCAGATCAAATCATTTGTCCAAGTTGTCATTATGGCTCAACTTTACGAAATACTGTAATGGTGGCAGAGGAAATGAACTCTAGGTACTTGTAGTAAAAAAAGCTATGAAGCTGTCAATTGAGATCAGATTCTGAAATTCACTGCTGAAATTCAGAGAAAGACAGTTTGTGTGAGCCGTCATGGTAAAGTCTCTTCACAGCAGTTCTGTAGCTTTGTATTTTAGAAATATTTCCTAACGATCTGTATTTCTTGGTAATTCTGTTTTCTGTCACAGGATCTAAAAGGTACTAGCACCAAGTGCCAGCCTGTGATATTCCTATGAAGTCATTTAGTAATTAACTTCTGTTTCACAGAAGGGGACAGGAAATGAAACCTCCTGGTCGGACGTTCTGAAGCCTATTTGCTTAAAATTAAGCATCTATTTTCATAACTAAGCAACTGAATCAAGGAGACTCAGTTTTCAGAGCTGCTTGTGACCTCAGCAAACAGGAGCAGATTCCAGTCAAACAACTGCTGAGTGTACACTTTACATAGGCTGTTTACTATTAAAAAAAAAAAAGAGATGAAGTCTAAACTTGGTTATATTCATCCATATGCAATACAACACTGTTCTGTAACCTGTGTCTGCCTCTGCGTCCTATTGACAGGCCTCTAACCACGCTTTCCTGTTTATTGAAAAATATTTTCCTTGCTCTGGCTCCCTTTTGCAACCCTGGACCAGCAGGGACTGAGCCAGTGACCTGCACCAAACCTCCCTTACCCTTTCTAGCAGCTGGCCTGAAAGCCAAGCGGAAACTCTTGGCAAAAAGTCATGTTTTCTCTACTGAGCCTCTGCTCGCAGGCAGGTTCATGAGAGTCTTTCCAGCCTGGAAATTAGGCCATTTGTCAACGATCACGCAGGAAATCAGTGACAGAATAAGGAATAGAATTAGATTTCTTAATTTTCAAGACCTAGACTTGAAATGTGAGACAGTTCTGACTCTGAAAGTTTAATACTAACTAAAACCCAAACGCATGTATTTGAGACTATGTGTGTTTCAAGAACACAGAGAAACATCTCTGCTGAATGACGGTTAACAGTTATCCCAGAAGAAAAAAGTCTGGGTCCTTATTGATGTAAACCAGCATGGTTCTACTGACAATTCCCTACTGCTTATCTTTTTCAGGGCAGTGCTTAACGCTGTGAGTCCTGTTATAGAAGTGCTTCATATATGTAGATGTCAGAGATAAAGATTCTGGGCTTTGCAAATGTAATTGGCCATCTTTGCTGAGCCCTAGCCATAGTCTAGTTTCAGCATCTGTGCGCTGGGAGCAATGGTAAGCGATGTTCCTCCTGCTTTTTTGCAGCCACTGCTAAAGAATTACTGCATTGGAAGAGTAGGAGTTAGAGATAAGGAAAGCTTGGAAAAATAACTCTGTTCTAAAGGTGTGCTCTTTCAATGGAGGAGTTTAAAACTACAGGAGACTTGGTAAATATTTGGTATTTATTTAGGTATGTTTTCCTTCTCCTGCTATACATCATCTTTGAAATTCTAAATATAAAATTAACATTGTTGGGCAGTGGGCCAATGTTTGTTATTGTTACGGGATTTTTAGCACCAATAGGGGAAAAAAAAGGTTTAGGAGGAAATGTTTGAATCCAAGTATTGTTGTGTTGTGCTAGCTCTTGAGAAACTTAAAAGCAAAATTGATTAGCAACTGGAATACAGGATGCTAATCAGCAAGAGTCTGAAAAATTGAATTTTTTTTCCATGTTTAATTGCATAAATTTGATTTGAAGGTATAGTTCTGTATATAAGCAAAGACACTTAAAAATCTAATTATTAACCTGACTGCCTTCTGAAACTGTAATGTTGCTCCAGATGTTAGTGGTACTGCTCCTTGTTTATACTATTTCTCAGCAGCTGTTAAGCTATTTGAAAAAATGACTCAGATGGGTGGTACTGGTATTTGATGCAGAATCTACCCCCAAGGGGCATGTAATTACATAAATGCAGCCCAATAAGTATCATTTTATCAGGACAGCAAACCAAATAACATTCCTTCAGCCTGATGTAAATTACAAAGGGCAAATATTATCATAGCCTCTTGACAGAACAGGCTGTATTGACTCTTATTTTTTTAATCACGAGATATAAAATTACACTTTTTTTTCTTTTGTCTATCTGTCTACAAATGAGAAATCTAATCCTGCTAATGTGTGTGCACATGTGTAGCTTCACTTGTGTGAGTAATCCTTTCAAAATAAGTGAACCACTTTTTTGGAGGAAAGGTATGTAGATGAATACAAGCATGCATATGTGGTTCTGCTGGCAGTATACTCTGGAGACCCTGCTCCTGTTGCCTTAGCATGCTAAAATTAATGGAATTACAGGAATGCAGGGCTGGTTTCCAAAAGCAAGGGCTGAATTTCAGTTTCTGAATGGAGCTAGCGTTCCGAAGTGTACCGGTGAGCTCAGCCATAGTACAGCTAATGGGCTGGTCGTATCCTGCTCTCAGGGACAAGTTTTTAGTGCAGCTGAGTTCAGCCAGACAAGATAGCTTTACATGATAACAGGATTTAGCAGAATATTTGTTTTGACTATAGCAGATACTTTGGTCAGACTATGGCCATCTGTGCTGTGCTGCAGCTTTATCTGTACTGTGGCGTGAACATTTAACTTCTGAGCGCTTTTTCCTGTTGAACCTCTGTTTGCTGTTTTCCCATTAATTTTTTTTCTGTTTTTTTCTTTTCATTTATATTTTCCTTCTCCCCACTCCTTCTCTCCCTCCCACACTCTTCCTTTGGAGTTTTACAAGAAAATTCCTATGTGAAAAATCATGTTCTAAGTTCCAGAAGCTTTTGCAATCGAAGGAAGCCGAGACCGTTGTTCTGTCTTAGAAAAAGAAAAAAGGAGACACACATATTTTCGTCTATAGCTCTTACAGTGTGTCTTATTCTCCTGGGAAGCTTTATTTTCTTTCACCTGTTACTTGTTTCTCAGCTCACTAGTGGAAGAATACCACGATTGTATGTATTGTCCCTGAAATATGTTCTATATGTTTCCTTCTCTACATCCTTTGCTGTGTTAAGGAAATCTGATACATTGAACGTGTCTGAAAATCAACATTCCTTGATACAAAGATAGATACATGATAGAGAGGAATAAACACATGAACTTTCAGTTGCTGGAGAAATCACTGTTTATGATTTTGTTATGATTCGAGGGGTGTGTGTATGGGTGGTAATTTTATTAAAAAATGGCTTTCTGGCATTTTAACTGCACCTTTTTTGCTTACATGGGTGCCTGGTACTTCTCTGATTTCTGACAGATATAATCCATAAAGCTTGCTTCAAATAGGAACAAAGCAGTAAAATATGAAACCTGACTAGAAAAGAATAGAAAAGTCACACTTCAGTAAAACTTTGCATCTGGTCTCCCAGAAATTTATCGGTGATATTGTGCTCAGTGCTGTCCGTTAAGAAATAAATGCAAGGAAAACAGTTCCTGAAGGTTTGAAGTGTTGTCTTGATTTGAGCATTTCTTGAAATGCCTGTGACCAAAATACTCCACAAGCTTTGTGCTAACAACTGACAACTAAAAAGTGATGGATATGTGAAACTAAGTCAATGTTTTGGGCTTTTTTAATGACGAAGAACTTAAAGGAAATGCAGGTTACTATTTGCAGTGCAGTAAAACATTTCTCTGCTGACTGTTCCATTTCTTCCCCCCCCCTCCTTCCCCAGAAAGCAACTGTGCAACATGACGTTCGAAGATTTTGAGAACTACTCTTATTTCTACGACCTGTCTGAGGAAGATGAATCACCCCAGTCCTCCCTCAGCATTGCCCATATGATTTCCCTTTCCTTTTACAGTGTGGCATTTCTGCTGGGAGTGCCAGGTAATGCCATCGTCATCTGGTTTATGGGCTTTAAGTGGGATAAATCTGTTTCTACACTCTGGTTCCTCAATCTGGCCATTGCAGATTTCATTTTTGTTCTCTTCCTGCCCCTCTATATTACATATGTGGCAATGGGCTTCCACTGGCCTTTTGGGAAATGGCTCTGCAAAATGAACTCATTCATTGCACTACTTAATATGTTTGCCAGTGTTTTCTTCCTGACGTTCATCAGCCTTGACCGCTACATCCGCCTAGTCCATCCAGTCTTTTCCTACAAGTATCGGACTGTAAGGAACACCCTTGTTCTTAGTGGGATCATTTGGATGTCAGCTGCAATTATTGGTGGCCCTGCCTTATACTTTAGAGACACAGCTACAGTTCTCAACAATGTCACCATTTGCTACAACAACTTCCATGTGCATGACAGAGAACTTATTTTGCTGACACATCACATTCTCATTTGGGTGAGGCTTGCATTTGGTTACCTTTTTCCTCTAGTGACCATGGTCATTTGCTATTCATTGCTGATTGTGAAAGTGAAGAGGAGAACTGTGTTGACTTCCAGCAGGCTTTTCTGGACCATCATTGCTGTAGTTGTCGCTTTTTTTGTTTGCTGGACACCATATCACATATTCAGCATTGTGGAGCTGTCTGCTCACCATGATGAAAACTTGCATGACTTACTGCAGGATGGCATTCCCCTTTCCACTGGCCTTGGTTTCATCAACAGTTGCCTCAATCCAATCCTCTACGTTCTGATTAGCAAAAAGTTCCAGGCCCAGGTCAAGACAACAGTCTCTGAGGTGCTGAAATTGGCACTGTGGGAGGTGAGCCGCTCAGGAACTGTCAGTGAGCAGCTGTGGAGCTCGGACAACACCCATGCGCCTGTGCACTATTGTGAAACCGCTCAGTGACTGCTTTTGTCACCATCCCTCTCCAAAACAGCTGACAGGAGATTTGGAGGTGTTCTTGACTTCACATCTGCCAGTCAGATGTGCATCTTTGCATATACAGTTTTATGTAAACAGCTGGCTTAATTGCACTTGCTGCTTTCCTTGAAAGGTTTTTAAAGGACACATCATTTGGGTGTGGTGTACTTGCAGTACACACACAGCCTGAACTGAAAGTTGCCAGCATAAGTGGAATTGCTCTAGCTGGGTTTTTGATCAGGAATGTTGTTGCAATCCTGTTGTTTTGTTGTGCTTCCATACCTCATTGATATTGAAAGAGCACATAATAAAAATATTCCTCCTTGCCATCGCTGATAACACTCTTGCTTGAGGCATTCTCATCCAAGAGGTCGTGACCATACATCAGTAGGTCTCCTGATT